ATGCTGGTTATAGTGCATTTCTCTGAGTAAAATGGGTCGTTCCAGACATTGTTCAGAAGAATAGTGTACCTTGATTAAAAAGTTGATTGGAGAGGGGAAAACATATAAAGAAGTGCAGAAAATGATAGGCTGCTCAGCTAAAATGATCGCAAATGCTTTAAAATGGCAACCAAAACCTAAAAGATGTGGAAGAAAACGAAAAACTACCATTTGAATGGATCGAAGAATAGCCACAAAGATTCAGGCAATGATCAGCTCCAGGAAGATCAAACAAGGTCTAAAGTTACCTGTGAGTACTGTTACAATCAGAAGACGCCTATGTGAAGCCAAGCTACTGGCAAGAAGCCCCCGCAAAGTCCCACTGCTGAAAAAAAAGACATGTGCTGAAGAGGTTACAGTTTGCCAATGAACACATTGACTGGCCTAAAGAGAAACGGCGCAACATTTTGTGGACTGATGAAAGCAAGATTGTTCTTTTTGTGTCTAGTGGCCACAAACAGTATGTCAAATGACCCCCAAACACTGAATTCAAGCCACAGTACACTGTGAAGACAGTGAAGCATGGTGGTGCAAGCATCATGTTATGGGGATGTTTCTCATACTACGGTGGAGGGCCTATTTATCACATACCAGGGATCATGGATCAGTTTGAATACCTCAGAATACTTGAAGAGGTCATGTTGCCTTGTCGCGAAGAGGATATGCCCTTGAAATGGGCGTTTCAACAAAACAATGACCCCAAACACACCAGTTAACAAGCAACATCTTGGTTCCAGACCAACAAGATTAACGTTATGGAATGGCCAGCCCAATTCCCGGACCTTAATCCGATAGAATGCTTGTGGGGTAACATCAAAAATGCTGTTTGAGGCAAAACCAAGAAGTGCAGAAGAACTGTGGAATGTAGTCCAATCATCCTGGGCTGGAATACCTGTTCACAGGTGCCAGAAGTTGTTCAACTCCATACAACACAGATGTGCAGCATTTCTCAGAAACAGTGGTTATACAACTAAATATTAGTTCAATGATTCAAAGGAAAGCAAAATCTTTAACATTTTTCAGCTGTATATGTACTGATGTACCAAGTACTTCAGGGAAGAATGAAGATGTGATATTTATTAATAAAAATCAACAAAGGGGAAAAAATATTCTATATCTACAAGTTTAATGGTTGTGAGGACTGACCCTTTTGAAAGCTGTTCGTAAACTCTATCCACTGGCGCATAGTAGAGTCTCCCATAAAGTAGAGTGTCTTTCCCTTCAGACAGCTGTTGATGGACTCCGAAGTGAAGAAGCTGCCAGTTTTACAGCACAAGGAAGACCACTGGTTTCTATTTCTATTTTAGATTTTATTTCAGCCAAGTATCTTTAACAGTAACATATTAACAAACAGTCTTCATGTTTGTTAAACATGACTGATATTAATAATCTTTTACAAATTTCTTTATATATTTATATATTTAGTAAACAGCATATCAACAATTTGAAAAAAATGTATACTTTGACAGTCTCAACCTTTTGGCAGACTTCTAACCCTCTGTTGCGGTGGGGACTCCAAGCAAAGGCAATTAGCCGTTTTATTTTAATGTCAACTTCACTGGATGAGCACACAGCAAAATTCATACTGTAATGTTCAGGAGTGGTCAGCGCTGCGTAAAATTCCATTGTCTTGAAGCTATTTCATCCAATTTTGTGGAATAAGGGAAAAAGGCTAAATGTGTTTTTTTGGAGGTAATTTACTCAAATATAATATTGAAGCATATGGCTGTTCCTCAATTTTTAATAAACATTAAGTTTCTCATTAAGCTGCTGAACTGACAGACACACACACACACGCATTCACACGCACGCATACACACACACACACACGCTCACTTTCTAAACCATCTTGCATGTTAACTAACTTCAACTTGGGGTTGATTCAATCACTGTTTTTGGTAGAAGTTATATTTCTACATAGCAAATAATTTACTAGTATGTGTAGTAGAGTAATAGTAGTTGTTGATTCAAATTGGGGTATTCCACTGAATTTGTGCCATTTTTGTCCCCAGGACATAATATGTATAAATACAAATGAATAGATGTTATTATCAAGCAAAGTGTCCTCCACTGTTACGCCTCACGGCGCACGGAGAACAGAAGCTCAGGAAGCCGGAAGTCGCGGTGAACTCGGGGTTTTAATTGGAACAGCAAAGATAAGGACAGGTAAAACACGGGGTTACATTACAATGACCGGACTGGGGAAACAAACTGAAACGCGGACTAAATACATTGCACTAATGACAGTAACCAGAAACAGCTGATAAACACGGGAAATCCACATGAGGTTAACGAGGGGGCGTGGCACATGAGAGGAGCGAACGATCGGGGCATGACATGCACAATGTCCTAATAGCAAATTTAACATACTGCAGTGTCAGGCCGACTGAGGCATCACCAGCATAGCGAAGGATGGGGAGGCTTGCTTGCTGGGATAGAACACACTCTTTATTAGAGTCTTAAACAGGAGTGTAAGAGGTATTTTATGCTTTAAATATATTTTCCGTCCTCAAGTAAATGAATAATATGTTAGTTAAAATACACATTTTAGCTGGGCCCCTGGTTTTCAGTCCTGTTACCCTAATGCATTTCTCCCCCTAAAAAAAATGGCATATTCCACAAGTAGCATACTCAACTGGAAATTGCATCATCAGTCACCTGAAGACCACAGGAAAACCAAAAGTAACTTCTCACTTTCTTTCCTGTATTTTGATGATATTGTAAGCATGCCTGAGGTGGTCAAACTCAACGCTCAGTCCTGTTATCCAAATAATTTCTTGATAGATAGACATTTGAATGTACTCAGTTATCATAATATTAGCTTTGATGATGTCACTATTTTTCATGAATTTCCTAATTTTATGATAAAACTCAGGCCTGTTACTTTGTCTTGTTACTTAAAGAGAAGTAAACTTGCACATCTATATATAGTGTTTTTTTTAACCACAAGTATATATTTTTTGAACATGCAACCATTTCTTTAATATACACACTTTATTGAGGAGAACACAAAAGAACCATTTGATAAAGAGCCCCTTGAGGTTTTGGTAAGAGGATTTAGAAAAATACAACCATCTGCTACTTAAAAACCTTGGAAAAAATGAAATAAAGTAACCTCAGATTGACCAGTGCACATTTTGAATAGTTAAATATGGGTATCATTAGATTCAGTGTTCAAAAAGATGAAAAAACAAAATAATGGAGTGGTGCAAAATTCCCCCCCATTTCTCAGGCAATCAAAACCATACCCATCGGCCTGAGGGTGGCGCTATAGCACAATGTTTTACATTTTGGCCTATATCTCAGGAACCATGAGATGATCGTAAAAATGCAAATGGCACTATGAAGCTCGGCCTACCTAGATTTTCTGCTAATTTGCATAACGTGAAAAAAAATCTATTTTCGAACTTGCCCTAGACCGTTCATCCGATTCACACAAAATTTGAAATGCAACGTCTTGAGACCACGTAAACAAAAAGTTGATACTAGGATTTCGATCAAGCAAACAGACCGTTTTCACGCTTCCTGTTGAAGGTGGAACTATGGTCAAATTATCTCGCTGCTGTTAATATAGTGTACCTGTTTGTTCCAACCGTATCTGAGTTTTCTTGATTTCCCCCAGAATATAGAATTGTGGAACGCCTGAGTGAGGGATGAAAGTCCACTTCTCATTAGTGATGCAGAGGCTCTTTCTGCCTTGCTCTGGTTGCAAACACACTTGGATGATCATGTCAAATGATCCATTATATTGAATATCCAAATTTGTCATAAAAGAGCCAACACAGTCTTGCAGTCTTATCAGTCAGGGGTATAAAACCATTTGCATAAGAATGCAAATAAGCAGCTGGCAAATAAGTAACCAAATTCAGCCTCGCATACAGGTGAACGAATCAGAACAAATCTTTTAGGTGAACTGAATCAACCAAACTGTGTCCCAAAAAAAGAGAAAAGAGTAATTTCGCCCACCCATATGGTGGAACCCAGCTCCAATTTCAATGAATTTTCACGGGGAAATTACAAGGGATCCTTGTAATCCATTTTAATGCATTCTTTCATTTCATTTACATGTTGTATTAAAGTAATCAAGTACAGTTTTATTACGTGATAGGTATAATACCCATATCAAATAAAAATAAAATTGCATTGCTTTTGTTTATGTTGTATTGCTCGCACTGTAGTGCCAACAAGCTGGCCAATGAATGCACTGCATCTTTAGTATTGTGATCATAAATACATATAACTAGTAAAGTAATGTAGAGAGAGTGGTTATTCAGGATCATCGCTCCCCCACACACATACACACACAAGCTCTGTACCTTCCTCTTCTCTGATCCTGATGCAACCCTAGATGTGACTTAGAAATGATCAAACTTACAGTGCCAGCTGTTAGATTTATGATTGATCTTCTATTGTGGGTCAGTAACATTGTTAGTATTCCACTCAATCTCACACTGGCTTCTTGTCTGTTAATACACTTTTTTTGTCCTGTAATGCACCATTTGTCCTGTCCCCTCCTCTACAATTGTGCCATAATTTCACAGTGTTCTTCTGAACACATGGGATTATAAAAATGGATTTTAGAAATCAGACAAGAGAGTTTCAGTTGTGAAACAGGAAACTGAAAATCAATTTATAATGTAAATGTAGTCAATTTTGTTTTATTATATGGCTATAATGTGGCAATTTCCATTGACAGTAGTAAATTTAGTTGAATAACTGTAATTACCTTTAATAAGATCATCAGGACACAGACACAAATAACTACAAACGTCTTCAATCTTGAAGTCACAAAATTAGACTGCTTGGTAAAAGTATCGCCAAATATGATTCATATTTTAACTTGCTGGTTCAGTATAAAAAGTAACAAAAACGTTAAGGTACTCGCTTGTACTGAAAAGAGTCACGCTATGTAGCCTACAAATCACATATATTGTGCAAAAAAGAAAAACTAAATTTCTTACCAATTTCATTTTGAGTGTCACGAAGGGGCCGGGAGAATGAAATATGATCCAGGGAGTGGCATTCCAACAAGACGGAAACATTACTACAAATAGAATATGCCAAATAAAAACCACTGTGTCAGAGGGCTGAGAAACACGAAGGAGAAGGGCTATTGTAAACAGTGGGCTAGGTAAGGCGAAGGAAAACATACACTAATGGGGAAAGCAAATACTTCACAAGCAGAACCGAATACAGCACTTACACCTACTACGACCAAATATACAGGGTAAAGGTTGGCACCTATATACAAACTAATTATAAGAGCAGATGAGAAACAGGTGTGAATGATTATCAATGAAGCCAACAATAGGGATTAGGGCTATACAGGAAATAACTATGTAACTGAACACCAGCAAAGTACATTAAAAATGGACACTAAATACAAGAGCCAATACTCACTTCTCAAGTGAATAAATTAAGTTTATGAAACAGTAGACCTAGACATGACATTAAAAACATCAAACCTGCATGCTTTACATTTTACATATATAATTGATATTGCTCATTGTTGTATAACTTATGCAACTTATATTGTTAAACTTATATTGGTTTAATACTTAGACCATTATATCCATCGCACTGAGACCACTCAAATGAGACCAAGCATGAGTATGTGTTACAGGTACTGGGCTGCAGGACTCATAAGCAGTTTTACTAATCCTGTAATACAGGAAAGAATTGATGAGATAGGGAGACGTGACTGTCTTTTGCTGAGTTCTCCGCCATTATGAGGGAAACAGGGAAGCGCACGTTACAGACCAATGTTTCTGATGTAAACCACAGTCTCACACTGCCACCTACGGTCGAAAAAATGTATTGTCTTGGCCCAAAACACCAAATTATTCACCTTAAGGGAAAATGGGTCTTTACAAAAAAGAAAAACACTACACTTACACACATATTCACATATACAGTATGTGACCACACATTAGTGGGTATCACATATGTACATTGGTTGGATTAACATCAGACAATGTTTTCCCATTTAGACTTTTTGTGTGACCATTTGGGACCTGGAACAGGGGCAGGGGAGCAGGAAGGGAGGGGGATAGGGCAGGATGGGTTTATGATCAGCGAGCCAGAGAGGGTCTGCCTATGGGCTCTTTCTCACATAGTGAGGGTTGAGTTGAGGTTGCTGATCGGATGGTCCAATGGCATTGCTCAGCCTCATCAGAGCCAAGTTTCGGTTCCCAGCGCTTCGCTGCCTCCCGAGGCTCATTTCCTTGCTGGCACTTCACCTGAGTGTGTGCCTGAAGCCACTGCTGCTTCACCTAAGTGTGCACCTGCATCAGAGGCGCATCTCCCCGCACTCGGAGACCCAGCTCTAGTTCCTGATTCCCCGGCTCCAGTTCCTGATTCCCCAGCTCCTGTTCCCGTAGCCCCAAGTCCCGCTCCAGCTCCCCTTGAGTTGTCGGAGGAGGAGGAGCTGGAGTGTGATCCATTGGGGCTTACCCTAAGACCTTCCCCAGGGACACCCTCCAGTGGGTCACCCCGACCACCACCCCGTCACGACAGATCCCGGACAGGACCCCGTCTTTGGTGTCCCACAGAGGGAGAGGACACCTGCGCTGGGGTCGGGTCCCGCCACCCCGCCCCCTGATTCGCCATCAGTCCCCCTTGCTTCGGCCTGGCAGTTGCCTGTGGTTCCCCCAGCTCCTGCTCGGTGGTCACCTCTAGTCCCCCTGGCTCCTGCTCGACGGTCACCTATGGTTTCCCCTGTGGTGACTCATCAGTCACCTACGCCTTCGCCGGCTGTGGCTTCGCTGTCACCTGCCACAGCTTCTGCTCCCTCCTTGCCTCCTCTGGTGTCCCCTTCACCTCCCTCCTCCAGCAGTCCCTCCACCTTCCTCCTTGCCCCCTTTGGTGTCCCCTCTGCCTCTTACCTCACGGTGGCCGAGGGTCCCTCCGGCTTTGCGGTCGCCTGTGGCCCTGGCTGCTCCCACCTTCAGCTCACTGGGGTTCCCTCCAGCTCCCTGATTCCCCCCGCCCTTTGCCTCCTTGCACCCTGGTGTGATTCCCCCTGTGGGTGGTTTCCCCATGTTTCCTCCCTGTTTGTTTGGTTCCCCCTTGTTTTTGCCTGGTCCCTGTCTTCCTTTGGTTGGTCTGTCCCCTGGTTGTGTTCCCCCTGTGTCTTTTCCTTGGGCTTCCCCAGGTCCAGTGTTTTCCTCTTTGGTGCCCCTGTGTGTGTCTGCATTTCCTGTGGTGTGTCAGTTCATGTCGTGGTTGCTGTCTTTGTGCCTGTTCTGTGTGTCTGTGCTGTTTCCATTGCATCGTCGATGTTGTTGCTTTCGTTTTCCCAGGTGTCTTCCAGTCATGCCCTGTGTTTCATACTGTACCCAGTCTGGTCCATTTTTCTCCCTGTAGGTGCGCCTGGAGTGCATGCCTTTGGGGGGGGTGGGACCTGTCATGCCCCGATCGCGTTTTCAAGACTTTGATTGTGCCGATCCTCTTGTGTGCCACGCCCCCTCATCTACCTCGTGTGGAATCCCAGTGTTATCAGCTGCTTCTTGTTGTATCTAATTAATCCTGTGTATTTAAGTCCATGACACAGTATGTGTCCCCAGTCCGGTCATTGACATCGCTGTGTGTTCTTGATCGTGTCAACCCCTAATAAATCCCTCATTTGCCCGACTCCACGACTACCTTTGCCTGTTTCCCTGCTCTCTGACTGCTCCATACGTAGGACAGTTGTGTTCCAGTATGTGGGAAAAAAATGGCTATTTTTAAGCTAAATAGTAGCTAAATACCACCAATAAGTCATGTAAGAAAAAATATATTTGTTATTGAACTATAGTTCAAGTCTTGGCAGCACTGTACCTTACCTACTCCTGTTGGTTAAAAACACAAAAAACTCATCACGTAGTTAGCTAATGAGTACAAACACTAACAAATCTTGGTTAAAATAATTTAACATTTTGAAAATGTTACATCTCCTAAATCTAACTGCAGCACATGAGAAGTCACAGCAAATATAGGGTATATACTACACCAGTAGATGGTGTATTTCAGTCATGACCGAGGTGCAGGTCTCTCCTTCAGTGTTGACCAAGAAGTAGCCTGAGTCTCTTATTCACCCACACACTGAAGTCAACAGAGGGTGTCTCTAGCTCACAGTTCTCATTCATTTGTTCATTGTAGGCATATAAATTCAGTCCCAGGTTTAGTTTCCAGTCAATGGAAGCTTACAGCACTGCCTTACATGTCACACTGGCTCATATTGGCCGCAGTTGAGGAAGGAAGCTGTATTCACATCATATTCTAACCCTGAGATCCATGTGTGGTTCTGGCTCAAACGCCGCACTGACCTCCACCACATCTGGCATCCGGGCCAACCTTGGTGCAACAGCTGGGGGAGTTGTCACACTCAGGTAGAATTCTGTTTGCCACTAATTCTGAATACATAACTTGTTTTGCTTCCTTATTTGGGGCAAACCACGGAAGAGAGATGTTAAAGAAATCCCCAGAATCTACGACATCTATCAACTTTCTCCAAAATGGGAATGAGGGTGAATGAAATTAAATCAAACTGGCCCTTACTCCTACCACCATTCCTGCAACAGAAACACAATAACCCTACCACAATACAAGGATAAACAGATAGTGGACAAGCCCACAAATTCTGTTACAACCCAGTCGGGTTGGACTGTACAGAATGTGATTAAGGGAAGACAAACACAGACAACGGAATGTGGTTTTGGAGCAGTGTTATCATTGAAGGATATAATGAACAGACACAATAAGAAATGGACATATAACGTTTACATCACACTGGTGACAGACCTTGGAAGTGACCCAGGCCAAAACACACAAAAGAGTGAAAAACAAATTACAACCAGAAAGTCAAATATCAGAATAACCAAAACCAAAGCAGTATACAAATCACGAGTAATGGGCAGAGCTGTTGACTTGCAGGTGGCGGATGGTGGAACTGGAAACTGAAACGGGAGTCCAGATAGAAACACAGGCTGGAATCAGGAATAGGCCGTAGCGGATGAACGTGACTGAATGGAGCAGGAGTGAAAAAAAACAGAGAGACATATAACACACAGAAAGCACAGGTTGTAACAGCGGTGGCCTGGTTTCATACATTGATAAACAAAACATAACATTTGGTGCCCTGCCATGTAAATTAGCTCTGTGTGTTTGTCAGCATAGAGCAAAAAAACTCTTCTCATTCACCACACTTATACACCCAACCCCAAACTGAACCATCACTATTTGCACAATTTTATCTGCACCTTATGTCTACTGTGTTTACCATACACTACTCAGCTCCATGTCAGTACCTCAGTTAGTCACTACCTCGTCTATGGACACATGCTGATATGTATATTTATATGTTAATATGCTTATCTGTATCTAGTCTGTACATTGAATTTATATACTTATGTATAATGTTGGTAATGTATGTCTAATATATGTATGTATCTATAATTTATGTGTAATGTAGGTAACGTATGTCCAATGTATCCATATTCCCTCCCTCCTGTCCTCATATGTCCTGTATATTCTGGTGAAGGTACAACTCTCTTTTCATTTATACACGTACCGGCTCATTATGTTAATTGCAATAAAAATTTTATTGAATTGAAAGTGTTGCTAACAGGCTGAAGCTGATCTGACCTTTGCTGTGAGCTTCACGATTCTGTTCTATTCTCTCTCTTGATCCCATCCTGCTACCTGTGAAGGACTTCTACTTGTATCGTAAATTAATTTGGTCCAAGCGTTTACAAGTCTGAGTTCATTGTTATGTCCATTTAGTACAAAGCGTGCACCATGCGGTTTCGGTTCCTGGTTAACATTTTCTGTTCTCTTACACCATCAAATGCATCCAACTTGCATTTTTCTTATTCCACCGATTGGAGTTTGCTTGAATTTTCCCCTGTTCACTCATTTCCTTTGCCAGTCCACCTTACTGTAGTATATAAAACATGAAGTGTGTCATAGAATTAATGAACACTTGCAACTTGCATGAAAATCCCTGAATAGATGTCAGCAGATTCTGTGAATGGTTTTTGACCAAATTCCTCATTTTGTTCCATTAAAAATCCACAAAACAACTTTTTTGTCATTCAGATTAAGACTCAAAATTTGCCTCCAAAGAAGATTAGCAGAAGTTATTCTACGACACTGGTCTGATATTGGTCATGCCTTTGGAGTATGACAGAGACAGGACAGAAATAGTGCCACCTCACTGGCAATGATGGTTGGG